AGCATGCGCCGCGCGAGGCGCGCGGGCGCCCCCTGCAGATGGCTGGGCGACACGCGCGAGCAGCGCGAAACGCGCGGGCCGTGGGCGATACATGCACCGCGTGGCCGCTTGCGCTGCCCAGACCGCAGGAAGTGCGCGATCCGCGCGATGGTTGGTCTTGCGCGCCGCCAGGCAAGCCCTGCGCGAACACCGCAGGACTGTAAACACGTCAGTAGGCCCAGTGGACAACCCGTCGCGCGCCCTCTCGGGGAAGCGGCCCCGCTGCCAAACATTCGGGCGAGAGCCGCGCCGACCAAACCATCCAATCGCCCAGCCATCAAACGCAACGGCATCACTTGAGACGCCCCCACAATGCGGCCGCGAGGTTTGGAGAATACACATTGCAATACTGCATCGCTGCTCGACAGCGACGGGAGCAGGGACCGAGGCGACTAACCAACCCAACCGTGCAGCCAAAAGCCTCGGCGCCGTCGCTCGCGAGTTCCTCGCACCCTTGGCGCAAAAGCAGGGAGCAGCGCGTGTTTCCAGCGATGTTGAACTGCAAGGCAGGGTTGGTGAGGAGGGAGAAAAGGGAACGGGCGAACCAGGAAGAGGAACAGCAAAAATCACCCCCCCGCAAGGCAGGGGCGCAGCGTCAAGCCTCCCGCCCCAGTCGGCCGCCGAAGCCTGGCCCGGACACTTCCGCGCTGGGCTCGGAGCGCCGTCGGCGCCGCCGCGGGGGAGGCGGGGGGGAGGGAAAGAGGGGGCGCCATCCCACGCGCATCCGCCGACATAAAGCGGGGGTGGGGCGGGGGGGCAGGAAGGGGGGCGCGAGGAGGGGGAGGGAAAGAACGCGCTGCAACGCACCGCCGCGCGGCTGCAGCGCAGTGCGAAGTGGAGCAACGACAAAAGCGCCTGGAACGCAGCACAAACCATCCCACCGTTAACGAGACCTGGCAGAAGAAACGTTGTTAACTGCAGCGCGCCCCGAAGCCCAAGTGGCCAACCAAATCTGCGCGGCATCATCAAAGGCGGAGGAACCAAAGAGAACCAAGAGGGAAAAGGAGGATTTGAACAACGAGCGGGAAAGCGCTGGAGAGATGGGGGGAGAAAGAGACTCAGACGGGCATGGACTGCACACGCCAAGTGTAAGTGAGGTAGAGCCTCTCAAGAGCGAAACGCTGTACAAGCGACGGCAGGAAAAATTCTTCGACACGGGAGATCACCATGTATGCACCGGTGAGTTCTTCCTCCTCCTCCTTCTCATCCTCCTCCGCATCCTCCTCCTTTTCCTGGTCCTCCTAACCACGCTAGTGTTCATTGCGATTCTTTTTTGCGAGCGTCGGACACAGAGCGGGTATGTAAGAAACTGGGTGGACCGAGAGAACCTCGCAATATGAACGCGACAACGCCCGTGATGTACCCCCTAGCGCCCCTCCCTTGCGATCCCCAAATGCCACGCCTGCTACGTCACGACGACCAGGCAACCCTGAACAAGTATAAACACAATCGAAACATAAAAGCCAGAGTTCCGCTTGAGGCATTCCAACAAGCTGGACGCCGATAAATAAGTGTCCCACCCGCCATCACATCGCAATTATCACGCAGCCCTGAACAGAGACACGTTTACCTCTCAACAACAAGCGCGTCGCGTGGATTTTTTCCCACTATCTGGGCACTCACTCGCAAGTCTCCTGCCCCCTGACGGCTAACTCTTGTAGCGCCCAAGTCGTATGTCTACTACGTCGTCGCGGCGACTGTGCGGTCCTAAAAAGAGACGCGCCGATATTTCCACAACAAATGTTTCAATTGACATATCCCCACAATCTGGGCGCGAACGCACCCGTGATGTACCCCTTGGCGCCTCCCCCCTGTGGGGCCCAAAGGTGATGACTGCTACACCGCGATTGCCACGGCCTGAAAACACATGTATAACCTCCAAAAGTCATCTGTTCGCGGGGGACGTCCCAACAAATCTGGGCGCCAACGGGCACGTGTCTGACCCTCTGACACCCTCCTTCCCTCTCTGGGGTGCCCAAACATATCACTCCCGGCTCACTCCTGTGGAACCGATAATACAAACATAAACAACGACAACAGCAGCCAAGTCTTCGAAGGAAACCACCCCTCAAAATTACAACAACGCATCGATCAAATCGGTTACCCGCCACCCAGAAGATGCTGACAACGGGCGAAACTGAGAGACTTAACCGCAAGGTATATTTAAAAAAAGAGCGAAAATCGGCAGACGTGTGTGAGACGCTGTCGTCGCCTTCGTCGTCGCCGTCGCCAGTCCTCAGTCCCGCCTCTTGGGCTCTTGGGCCATCTTGGGGCGATCTCTGGGGCCTCTTGGGACGTCTTGGACGCTGATAAGACCAAACAACGAATAGGCTTAACACATATTGCTTCCTGAAAGAATGGTACCGTCTTCGTCTCTTAGGGCCGTCTTGGGGGTCCTCTTGGAGCCGTCTTGGGGCGCCTTGGGCCGTCTTGGACCCCTTGGGACTTATCTGGAAGCTCTGGGGGGTCCCGGAGGGACTCCGCGGAAGCTCCGGGGAGGCTCAGGGGAGGCCCCGGGAGGGGAGGGGACCCTTGGGTGATTCTGGGTGACCCTGGTGTGATGCAGCCCCAGGGCCTCTGGGAGTAGGTTTTCGATGTAAACTAGAATCACGCGCGCTGCGCGCTTGCTTTGGTTCTAGCAAGATGTGGCGACGGTCTAGGGCTCGTAGCATCGGAGCGCAGAAAGACTTCTATCAATCATGATCAATCAGCAAGTCGCACCCTCCCTCTATGTCCCCACGGATGCATGACATGAGCCCCCATCGACCTTACTCCTGCATTCTCCTCTCAGTAAGCCCTCTCAATCCCTCTCTTTTCCACCCCCCGTTATGGCGGACCAATGGAATCACATTCCATGCGGCAAAGGAGCTGTTGCGGGCGCGGTGGACGAGTTCCACTTGGCATGCAACGCGACAAAAAACATTCGTTGTCGACGCGGTGGACGTGTTCCGCTCGGCGTGCAACAATGAAAAATACAGCTGGCCGCAGGTCTAAAAAGGATTCCGCATGATCCCTCTTCGGCTGGCTACATATCCTTCCCCAATCAGTGCTTGCACTGATGGGGTCCTAGCGGAAGTTGAAGGATTTGGCGAAAGTTCGCCGCCGATTTTGGTGGCAGGCTGGGTTCCCGGGTTCCCGGTTCTGGGTTCCCGGGTTCCCGGTTCCGGGTTCCGGGCCGATTTCGGAGGGCGGCGAGATTCCCGGGTTCCCAGGTTCCTGGTCGATCTTCTTATCGATCGGTCTCACCATCGCTCTAATTACCGACTTCTCGATCGATCCCACCATCGATCTCACAATCGATCTCACTATAAATATCACAAGCGATCTCACTAGAGATCGCATGAGCGATCTCGCGATCGATCTCACTATCGATCTCATTGAATCGATTTCACTCTCGGTCTCACGATCGACCTTACAATCGTCCTCACTATCGATTCCACTATCGATCTCATTATCGATCTCACAATCGATCTCAAGATCCATAGAATCAATCTTCAAATCATCCACTGATTAGGGTTTTCTCAGGCGCAAATATTTTCATTTCCAGAGGGGCGCCTCGAGAAAACAACGCACACACGCACAGCAGCAGCTCGTGTCCACCGGGGGCGGGAGGTGGGAGGGCGGGCCCCAATGCTTAATCCACCCGCTTGAAGCAGCTGCTAGAAGTGGCCAAGATCTGGTCTTTGGGGAGGGGGGAGCGGGGGCCCGCGCCGATCGGCGAAACAAGACAGAAGAAACAGCTACCTCTCAAGACGGCTCAAGGGCCCGATTTCGGCACACCCCTCACACACTCTGCGCCTACCCGAGGCCTAGACGACCCAGAGCGTCTAAGGCCCACCTGGAGCAAACCCAGTGCCACCTGCCCAATGCCTGCCCACGAACCCCCAGGCCTGCCCAAGGTCAGGCCGACGGCCTATCCAATGACTGCCTCAGGCCAACCTGGCGGCCTTTCAAGAGCTGATATATGGCCTACCAAGAGCCCAGTGAGGGCCCGCCCACGACCTAGCCAAGGCTTATCACAGATTTTCCAACACCTGCACAAATTTTACGTCTAGCCAACCATATGCGAGCACCATAACGAATGTGAACACCCACATGCGCGCGACCACCGTGCCCGCGCTCGTCTTGCAACCGCCACAAAAATCTTGACAATGATGAGCTGTCATGAAGGGTTCTATGGTGCGCCCACCGTCGTCGTGCAACCGCCGCGCAAAATTTGCCAACGCTGGGCTGCCATAAAGGTTTGAACGGTACACGCAAAAAAAATCGACAACGAAATAATCGATCCGACGGTCACCCCAGTACCGCGGCGACTGCCGGGACTGATCCAAGTATTCACTTTCTTCGTGGCGGCCCTGAAAAAAGCACGAACACCTCAAAAAGCCAGCGTCTCGCGTGAGATATCCCCGAATGCTGGGCGCCAACGGGCAAATGTCCCACCCCGTGGCCGCTCCCCAGCGTGGCGCCCAGCAACGTTTGTTGCGACATCGCGAACACCACGCGGCCCTGAAAAAGACTCGCCTACATCCGTGAAACAAGCGAACCGCTGAAGACATCCCCACAATCTGAGGACGAACCAGTAAGTGACCTATCCCCTGGCGGCACCCCCTTGTGTTGCCCAAGTGCTATGCCTGTCGCATCGCGATGATTCTGATCGTGATATAGAGACGGAGGGAGGAGGAGGAGGAGGAGGAGGGAGTGAGCAGACGGAGGTGCGACGCGGATATCAAAATTAACGACGCAAAACATGGGAATGAACACCGCAACATACTCCACGAGACGTGCAACTGCCTGCACAATGATCTGTTATCACCGTCGGACCCTTGCTCCGCACGCGTTCGACGGAAACTGGCGGCAATCAAACTGGCCCAATCTGCCGGGACATCGCTCCGATTTTGACTTCCATCAAACATGTGCTTGTTTCGCCCATGTCGTCCAGCCCCCCATCGGAACCAAGAAAGCCGGCTTCTGCTGATGAGACATCCTCACGATTCGCTCTTAAACTGGCCACGGCGTGCAGGTGACGCTGGCGGTGTGCTGCCCGCGCCGAGGCGAGAGCGCCGTTTGGACGGACGTTCGGCCATTGTACGGAAGTTCGGCCCGCATAGTAAGATGATTGCGCCTGCGGTGAGCTCTTTCTCCGTGGCGAACCGTCGCTGATGTGCTCATGTACCTGCAGCGGGTCGAACTCGTCACCTAATACGAGAGATCAGCTCATGCAGAAAGCCGCTGCCCCTTGCGCCAACGAAAATGAATCCATTCACATGTCACTAACTCTCAAAATTCGACTTCGCCTAGGCCCGCTCCTCCTCCTCTGCCTTCACACGATCAACCACTCTCTCTTGCGAGGCAAACTGATTTCTGGCTCGTCGGCTGTAGATAGGGCTCTTTAGGACGACGATCTCCAGCGGCTTCTTCTCAGACAACTCTGCAAGCATCGCATTCGAGCTCCCACAAATTCCATTAACTTCGATAAAAAAATCACCGCTTCTGACCTCCGCCTTTTCGTTGCGGCTGTTAGGGGGCCACATGCGAACCCTACCCCTACCCCCCACGATTTCTGAGGGGGAGGGTGGGGTTCACTTCGTTCGGGAGCTCCCGAGTGAAGTGAACCCCACCCTCCCCCTCAGAAATCGTGGGGGGTAGGGGTAGGGTTCGCATGTGGCCCCCTAGCTGTTCCACTGGTGAACCAGACCCTCCTCGAGGACGTTCTTAACGAGCACCGCGGAACAGTGGCTGATATCGACGTCGATCCCCAGCTTGGCTCCGTCGCTCCTGTCTAGCGATATCTTGAACTTGGATGCCCCCGAGACGCGGCTTGCAGGCGCCAGGGCCTTGGCAGGCGACTCGTCCGAGGCCATGGGCGTCGACCCCGCGGATGACAACACCTTGTCGGCGGCGAACGAGGGGGGGAAGTGAGAAGGACACGGCCTTCTCAGAAGGTTCGGAAGTCCCCCGGCCTTCTGAGAAGCTCTCTGCGCCTCCCCCGAAGACGCAAAAAAACTCAGAAGGTGCCGGGGCCGGCTTCTGAGAAGCGCCGCCGCCTTCTGAGAAGGCCACCTCTTTCTCACTTCCCCCCCTCGCTCGCCGCCGACCTTGGGCGGCAGAGAGTAGATCTCGCTCCCACAAGTCTCGCAATCTTGCAGCATGCCGCCGTCCGTCTCATCACAGGGAGGCCCCGGGTCGACCAGAGCGAAGCACGCCGGGCACTGCCGTCCGCCGAAGTCCACGCCTCCGCAGCGCTCCAGATCGATGGCGTCAAGGCACTGCCTCGCAGCGGCCACGCTGACGTGGAGCATGCAGCAGCCTCGGCCGCGGGCATTGATGCGCCTGTGAAAGGCCAGGTTTCCACCACCACCACCACCACCACCACATGGGGGAGGAGGATGGGGAGGCCCTCCTCCTCTCTTCCTCCCCCTCCTCCTCCTCCCTCTGGAGGAGGAGGAGGAGGAGGAGGAGGAGGAGGAGGAGGAGGTAGTGGTGGTGGAAAATTGGCCCCTCGGCCTCATGGCGCCCAGCAGGCACGTCACCCTCGTGTGCTGGGGCGTCTCCTCGAAGGCCAGCACCTGGCGCTCCGAGGTGCAGAGGCGGACCTTCGCCTGCCCCCTCCTCTCGGTCGGGCGCGTCCCGCATCCAAGCGGACTCGGGGCGAAGAGTGAGGAATTAGGGGAACAAAAGGTGGCATAGACATAAAAACTCGGAGGTCCGCGCGGATTTCTCGGATCGGCGCTGGACCCCCTCCCTGGCGCGCGGAGCGCGCCAGGGGCGGCGCCAGAGGCGCCGCCGGGGGGCCCCAGCGCCGACCCGAGAAATCCGCGCGGACCTCTGATTTTTTATGTTTATGCCACTTTTTGTGCCCCTAGGAATGGCCCAAACAGAAGTACCCCAGCACAGTCCAGAAACAAGAGTCGACGAATCGTCCCCAGACTGCGTCTTGCTACCGTTCTTGAAGACAGTCGGACTTGAATGGAGAGGACACGCGAGAGGGCACGAGACCCTTCCGAGGGCCACGCTTCCACCGAAATGCAGGAGGCACGGGTCGCAAGACACAGGACACGAGGGTACCCTTGATCTGGCAGGGTCGACCTGCCAATCTGGGCCGACTGTATTCCCGAGGAGGAGGAGGAGGAGGAGGAGGAGGAGGAGGAGGAGGAGGAGGAGGAGGAGGAGGAGGAGGGGGAGGGGGAGGGGGAGGGGGAGGAGGAGGAGCTGTCGAGGGACATGCCCGACCGGACCCTTCCTGCGGCGAGCCCTCGGCACGGCTGCGCGCCTCCGCGCCGCCAGCTCCTCGAGAGCTCCCGGCATCGGCGGCGGGCGCGCGGGCTGCTCCGTCTGCACGGCGGCGGCCCTGGTGCGAGGGGCGCACGGCTGGGTCGTCCTCGACACCACGAAGCTCACCTTGGGAGGCAGAAATCCTCTAGACTTTCTTGGTACATCACACCCCCCCTTGCCCCAGTCAGACTTCCACCGCCCGGGGAAGCGGTATGCAAGAACCGCGCGCCCCAGTGAGGGAATTTCGTATACGAGACCCACGACCAGGACCCTCGCCCGCCCCCTGGGGCTCTTGGGCACAGTCTACAAACTCTTCGGGCGGAAGAAAGACATACTCGCACTGCATGTCCTCCCTGGAGGCGTGCGCCCGCCCCGTACACGTGGTGTACCCACTCCCCATCGCTCGGACGTCCATTCCCTGTTTTTTTCGGTTTCGTGCGTGGCTTTTTCGCCAAATGATCAAGGATGCTTCTCGATGGTCCTCGCCGAAGGAAAAATGCACACGTCCGAGCGATGCCAAGCCCATGCAGTAGTATGTCGTTTCCCGAACGGTGCGGCCAGAAAGCGCCCGCCACGACGCGTATGCTAGAAGATGTCTCGGTGCGCGCGTCGCCCCGGGGGAGGCGGCGCACATATAGCATGAATACGTTGGGGTGACGCCCGTTGAGTACCGTTTAACCGATCCCCATCCCCACCAGCGTGGGATGGGCCCCGCTGGCCGGTTTACCCCCCTGATGGGGATACCGGCTGCTCTCTTCGGGCCTCGAGGGGCACACCCCCGACGGAGGTGGCGAGACGCTGGGGCTCGAGATCTGGATGGGGATGGGGACAAGGGATCGGTGAAACGATAGTGACCAACACCTCTGACGACCTACCAGACCACCCCAACCCAACCCGAAGACCCGAATTTCCGGTGGTGGGGGGGGGGGTACGGGCTCCACGTGTGTTCTCTCGCTGGTCCCCGACACCCCCCCAACTGGAAAAACGGAGGGCACATCGAGATCTCCGGGTCGGGCTGGGGTGGTTTGGTGGGCGGTGAACCTCCGTGTCGAGCTCCATGGCGCACTCGGGCGCAGCGCCCACCGCGCGCGGCGGCCCGGGGCCGAGCGCGCCGCCGCCCCACGGAGGCCGCGCCGCCTCGCGCGCGCGGGCCTCGGCGCCGGGCCCGTGCCCCGCGGGGGCCTCCGGGAGGCGCTCCTCGCCCACCTTCTGCAGGCACACGCGCACCCAGCGCTCGGAGGCGGCGTAGGGGACGAGCTTGGCCTCGAAGTGAGCCGCGGGTGCCCCCGTGGGAGTGGCGCCTCTTGGCGGCGAGCAGAGGGGGGGTAGGGGGAGGGGGGAGGGCTTCTTAGAGGGAGGCTGCTTCCTAGGAGGCGCCAGCCTTGCATCTACAGAGAAGGCCCGCACCTTCTGAGAAGCAGGGGTGCTTCTAAGAAGCCCCCCCCCCTCCCCCTACCCCCCTCTGCGCGCCGCCAAGCCTCTGTGGAAGGTGCAGAGGATGGGGCGGGGAGGCGGGCCGGATCGATCCCGGAGAAGGCGCGCGATCGCCGCAGAGTCGCCAGCACCGACGAAGCCGAAGATCGTCGCGCCCTCGGCACTCGGGCCAAGATTCTCCGCGAAGGCATTGCTGACACCGCTGATGATCCCAGCCTCTCGGCTCAGAGTGCAGAGGCCACTCGTGGCTTGATCGAGCAAGAGGTGAGTCACCGCAGTGGACTTCTGCAGCCGGTAGAAGACTGTGGCCAGCTGCCACTCCTCCGCCAACGCCCGAACAACTAGGAGTATGGAAAAAACACAGAACGACAGTGGATCAATGCTGCCATGCTGTTTCATCAAATTGCTGCCAGTCAGAGGCAAAAACAAGAACGGAACCAAAGAGAGAGAGTGCATGCCCCCTGCAGTCTGCAGAAACATGGCCAGCAAAATCCAAAGAGAACCCCCAGCATAACCTGCCGTTTGGCAATCGGCAAAATTCCATACCATCACGAATGCGTCGAGCCAAAGCGACGACCATGGAATGGCGGCACAACAGATTGGCGCCACAAAGTTGCTGCAGAGGCCGTACGTCGTCTCAGTGCCGGCATCCCTGTCAATGTCCAGACCCTTCACCAGCGCGATGAGCATGATCACGGCTTTGAAACCTCGGCGGCGAGGAGACGACGCGAAGAACTCCTGGCTGGTCGTCACCTCCCACCAGTGCTGCACAGACGAAACTGCCAGGCGTAGCCCCTCTCCGCACCGCGCCCGCGGACTCGGCTGCTGCCCGGCCGAGCTGCCGAGCAGAGCGTCCGAGCTCATCCGCACCACGTCGCGCTGCGACGCGGCCCCGCAGCTCCGCACGGAGGGCACCACGGCGGCGACAGGCAGTGATAGCCGCAGGGGTGCGAACTGAGCTCTGGGCCCAGCTGACGGCGCACGCGGGCACGCAGCAGAACTGCTCGAGCCAGTGTCCACAAGAGCTTGCCGTCGAGTGCAGAATGATCCTCCTCCTCCTCCTCCTCCTCCTCCTCCTCCTCCTCCTCCTCCTCCTCCTCCTCCTCCTCCTCCTCCTCCTCCTCGTTCTACTCGTTCTACTTCTCCTGCTCCTTGCCCTCGTCCCCCCAGCGAGCGAAAAAATTGCCTTCCAGCGCGCCCCCAGGGTCCATTTCCAGCAATGCGCCGGACGCGCTGGGCGCGTCGGAGTGTCCCCATCCAGCGCCCTCGCTCGAGACATCCTCGCAAAATCGCCCCACGGGCCCCCAGCGCATCCCCAGGGTCCATTTCTGGCGATG